GGGGGGGGGGGGGGGGGGGGGGGGGGGGGGGGGGGGGGGGGGGGGGGGGGGGGGGGGGGGGGGGGGGGGGGGGGGGGGGGGGGGGGGGGGGGGGGGGGGGGGGGGGGGGGGGGGGGGGGGGGGGGGGGGGGGGGGGGGGGGGGGGGGGGGGGGGGGGGGGGGGGGGGGGGGGGGGGGGGGGGGGGGGGGGGGGGGGGGGGGGGGGGGGGGGGGGGGGGGGGGGGGGGGGGGGGGGGGGGGGGGGGGGGGGGGGGGGGGGGGGGGGGGGGGGGGGGGGGGGGGGGGGGGGGGGGGGGGGGGGGGGGGGGGGGGGGGGGGGGGGGGGGGGGGGGGGGGGGGGGGGGGGGGGGGGGGGGGGGGGGGGGGGGGGGGGGGGGGGGGGGGGGGGGGGGGGGGGGGGGGGGGGGGGGGGGGGGGGGGGGGGGGGGGGGGGGGGGGGGGGGGGGGGGGGGGGGGGGGGGGGGGGGGGGGGGGGGGGGGGGGGGGGGGGGGGGGGGGGGGGGGGGGGGGGGGGGGGGGGGGGGGGGGGGGGGGGGGGGGGGGGGGGGGGGGGGGGGGGGGGGGGGGGGGGGGGGGGGGGGGGGGGGGGGGGGGGGGGGGGGGGGGGGGGGGGGGGGGGGGGGGGGGGGGGGGGGGGGGGGGGGGGGGGGGGGGGGGGGGGGGGGGGGGGGGGGGGGGGGGGGGGGGGGGGGGGGGGGGGGGGGGGGGGGGGGGGGGGGGGGGGGGGGGGGGGGGGGGGGGGGGGGGGGGGGGGGGGGGGGGGGGGGGGGGGGGGGGGGGGGGGGGGGGGGGGGGGGGGGGGGGGGGGGGGGGGGGGGGGGGGGGGGGGGGGGGGGGGGGGGGGGGGGGGGGGGGGGGGGGGGGGGGGGGGGGGGGGGGGGGGGGGGGGGGGGGGGGGGGGGGGGGGGGGGGGGGGGGGGGGGGGGGGGGGGGGGGGGGGGGGGGGGGGGGGGGGGGGGGGGGGGGGGGGGGGGGGGGGGGGGGGGGGGGGGGGGGGGGGGGGGGGGGGGGGGGGGGGGGGGGGGGGGGGGGGGGGGGGGGGGGGGGGGGGGGGGGGGGGGGGGGGGGGGGGGGGGGGGGGGGGGGGGGGGGGGGGGGGGGGGGGGGGGGGGGGGGGGGGGGGGGGGGGGGGGGGGGGGGGGGGGGGGGGGGGGGGGGGGGGGGGGGGGGGGGGGGGGGGGGGGGGGGGGGTGTCACCACAGCACACCCCATGCCGGGGTCTGAGACCAGCCCGCAGGCTGGGGCCACCAGGGATCCTCCCGAGGGGGGCTGTGCGTGCCCAGCCCTCAGTTGGAGGGGTTAGACTGCCACATGGCCCAGACCCCCAAACAGGCTCCCAGAGCCCCAGCTCCTGCCTGGCATGGGCAGGATAAGGCCACACATCTTCTCTGTCTCTGTCTCAGTGCTGCTGGCTTGCCCTACGTCCACGCTTGCCATCGGGTAAACTGAGGTATTGGGGTACCATCAAGCAGGTCTCCAGACATCAGACAAGGGCATAAGCTGGGGTGAGCACACAGCACCCTGACCCACACCACCTCACTGCGCCAGGTGGGCCACAACCCAGGAATTCACCTGCCAGCAACATCTCCCCACAGTCCCCACACACCCCCTCCGCTTGCCTGCCTGACAGTTTTTTCCTGACATCTTTTTCTACAGAGGAGAGTTTGGCAGGAGGCAAAGGGGGTGTCTGCTCTTCCTTAGGCTTTTTTGGCCAGGGCAGCTGGAGGGCTTGCGCACATCCCTGGGGAACAAGCAGCATCACCATCCCACAACAACCACAGGGACAGCGGCTTTGGTCCTGTTCCACAGCCAGAGAGCTTGTTGCCAAGACCTCATGCTGCTGCACTGGGTGTCGGTGGCATGTGGTGACAGGAGCTCTGGGTGCCAAGGGGTGCTGGCTCTGTCTTCTCTGATGCCACTTACATGCTGCCAAGGCCAGGGGCAGCAGGCACGAGCCAAGTCCCGCTTTTCCTCAGAGTATCTTGCAGGAATAGCCACTGGCCATGGCTGTTGCAAGAGCTGGCTTCACTCTCGGGCTCTGCAGACTGGGCTGAGCCTCTGTCCCCTTCACTGCGTCCCTTCGTGGGGAAAAGCTGCCATTTCTGGCTTCTTCGGCTTCCCTGTGAGCAACTCTGGAGAAACTGCCCCTCGTCCTGCTGGGTCACCCCCGCTGCTCCTCAAGCTCCCGGCAGTCTGGCAGCACCCAGCACTGCACAGCAGCCTCCCTAGAGAAGCTCTCCTGGAAAAATGAGCCCCTTCCTTGGAAGAGCAGAGCAGCTCCCGACCCCGCAGGGCCCCCGGGCGCTGTTTATCTTTGAGCAGGAGATAAAGCAGCTGTCGGCCATCCCATTTCAGGGCTGGACAGCTGTAGCTCGCGCCGGCCCATCCCGTCCCACCGCGGCAGGGGTAGGGACCTCCCGGCACTCACCAGCTCTTCTAAGCATCAGTTTGTTGGTGACCAGCTGATGTTCCTGCTGGATTGCCCCTGGGAAGATATGACCTGGCCCCATTTCAGAGGGATCCACAGGGCCAGCTGCCCCGTGGGACTCATTTCACAGGACCCCATTGCACATGGCTCCAGTGTCCCGATGCTTCTGTGTTGCACCCCGGGAGGCTGGCTCCCTCTGGGATGGGCTGGGCTCCATCCCCTGCATGCTGGGACTGAAGGCTGGGCTGAGTGAGGTGAGTCAGATGTGATGATGGTGATGGGACTTCTCCATGGCCCAGCAGGTACCCAGGTGTTTGGGGAAGCTCCTCTCCTCCAAGGCAGAGGGGTTTTGGTGTTTGGGTCAACATAGCACCCAAGGGTGGGGGGATGTGGCTAGGCTGGCTAGTGGTCTGCAGGGGGTGCAGCATGTCCCACCACCCTGGGGATGGCCACCAAGGAACCTGGCCCAGCTAGATCAGCACAACTCGGTTCCTCTCTAGAGCCTCCACAATGACAACAGCAGCTCTGAAGCTCTGCACATGTATCATGAAGTGTGTCCATGCTCAGGATCTCACCAGGACAGCAAGCAGGACCGTGTCCACTCTACCCTCCCACTCAGCATCTTTGCACCACCAGGGTCTGGTCATGCTCCTAGCTGGAGAGAAAGAGAAATCCTCCAGACAAACGGCTATCGACGGCTGCAGTGGAGGCGGCACAGATAGATACTGGAGGTATAGATGGGCACAGCAGACAGCGGAGCAGATTGAGAGATACTTGGAGCAGAGAGATACCGCAGGAGGAATCGGGAGATAGATCCTGTGGGCTGATCAATATCCACTGCATGCAGAGGGACAGCAAGATAGAGCGAGCTGCAGGGGGAAGGTGTTTGGTGGGCAGCGATGTGCATTTGTCCTGGCGATGGCTCCGGGGAGATGCCACTTGCAGTCACTTCAGATGTACAGTACAAGTGCCTGTGGTTGAGTCTCCTTGCCCATCTCCAGCCACCCCACAGGGGTTTGGTGTCCTTTGATGTGTGCTGAGATCCCACCTGTCCTCTGGGTACCAAAGGGTGCATATCTCCTGTGTATCCTGGTCACATTCCAAAAGGGTGCATATCTGCTCTGAGTCCTGGTCACATCCTCTGGCCATGCAGGGATGTCCATCCCACCTGTGGGCATCTTGCAGGAAGCTGGATGCCTGTGTCTGGGCAGCCAATAGAGAGGGGCAGCTTGAGTGCAAGCCCTGGCCCTGGCACAGGGGCTGTGCTGGAACTGGGTGACTGTTAAGTTCCCACCCCGTTCCTCAGTTTCTCCATGTGAGCCAAAGGACCTCAGACTGCAAGGAGCTGCGTCAGTCCAGCATGGACTCAGGCATGGATGAGAAAGAGTGGGAAGGAAGGGGCAGAGGCAGCAAGAGCCTGCAGGACACACTGTGTCCAGGACGCATCTCTCATCTGCTGGTCACTGGGGACACTTATCTGCTCTTTAACAGGCTGCAAACATCCATCCCAAAGGGAAGGTTTGCATTTTGGGACCCTTGAATGGCTGGCACTGTCCCTGCTCAGTGCTGGGACAGGGACACCCCCTCCTGACACAGCAAAGCAGCCAGAGGTCCTGAGTCCCACCCCAGCTCCATCCCGGTGGCACTTGCCCAGAGCACCCTGTGCTGCCTGGTTCCTCTGCTGGTCACAGCCAGGCTTAGCTGGGGACAGTGAGGAAAGTACCCCCGCAGCAGCCCTTCATCCAGACAGGGCTGCTGGCCCCGCGGCCAGGTTGGGGGAGATCCCCCGCCCGTGATGGAGTTATTGACACAGTCGCTACGGAAAACACTGCTGAGATTGTTCACACTAATGTTATTTAGCAGCAATATTTCCGTAATAAAAGAAATCAATGGGCAAGAGAAAAGACCTGTCCAGAGCTTTGATTTTCTCATTTTAATGGCATACTTATTTACTCCCACCAGCGTCCCCATTGGATTTTCATTACGTGGCCTTCGCTGTAAGTGGAGCAGTATTGATACGAGCTGCTGAGTTAGCGCCTTCCCATGCGGGCCGGCATGGGATCGCTCGTGTTCCTCGACGGGGCCCTGCTAAACCCCGGGGAATGGGCACGGTGTGGGGCCAGTGGCCTTGCAGCCACAGAGCCTACCCATGTGCATGTGTGCACACACAGCGTCCGCCCGTGGGTACATAGGTGTGCGCACACACCCACCTACCCAGCTGTGCCGCCAATCTGCACACTGTGGGCTGTGCACACGTACATACGTGCACACACTTGTTTCACCAGCACAGGCACACACATGCACACAACTCTTCTGACTACACATATGCACATACACAAATGTCCTACCCATACATGCCCGAGCACTCACAAGTGCGCAATTGTTCCGACCATATGGACAGATGCCCCATTGTTCTGCCTATATACATTTGTGCACACATATGCAACCCTCACCTGTTCTGCCTACACCCACCTGCAAACTGTTCTACCTATATGCATGCATGCAACTATGCATGCCCAAATGTCCTGCCAAGACACACACACACACACACACACAAAACCATCCTCCTTGCACTTACGCACTCACATGTGTGCAACCCGTCTGCCAGCATGTGCACCTGCACACCCACACCCTGCATACCCTGTGTTCCCCTCCTGTGCCCTTCTCACATTGAGGGGTGCACCTCTGCATGTCTGTGTAAAGCCCTCAGAACCTCCAATGTGCTACGTCTGGGTCCATCCACCCTCATGGCCACACACCCAGCACTGGCACTGTCCCCCAGAAGAATAGAGCTCCCCCCTGACTCTCGGGTCCCCCACAGAAGGCACCAGCCCAGGCTTCTGATCCCCAGTGACTGCAGCAGAAAGAGTAACAGCACCATCACTTGCTGGTCCCCGGGAGCTAATTTGGGGATGATCCTGCCCAACACCACATCCCCCAGCTCCCAGGACCCCAGGAAGAGTGGTGCCAACTTCCCCAGGGACACCCAGTTGCCAGCAGGACTCCTGCTGAGCCTGGAACTGGCCAGATCCAGCACTGATCCCCATGGCAGGGGCTTAGCACACTCCAGAGACTCTCCTGGTGACACAAGCAGGTGGGATGAACAATTTTATTACTGATATCTCTTCTCAGGTGGCATTTTAAGAAGTAGCCCGTGTGCAGGGCTGCCAGTCAGCAGGATGGGGACAGTCCGGGGAGCGGGAGCAGCGACATGCTACAGGCCTGGTGGCCAGGGACACGCACATTATTTTGGCAGCAACGTGGAGGTGAAAGACCCCCACAAAAGCAGCAAGCCCACACAGGTCCGGCCGCAGGGCTGCCAGCAGGGTCCGGAGCCAGGCTCAGTCGGGGGACCACAGCACTCCCTCAGCGGCTGGGACCCCACGCCGGCAGCCAAGCGGGGTGGCTGTCCCCAGGGGGTCTCACAGCCAGGGGAAGTGTTTTGAGGGGCGAGATCCCATCCTGAGCTAGTACAGAGCTTTGGGCACCTGCAGACACTAGGTATGTGCATAGCCCAGAGGCCACACAAAACGGGCTCTCTGTTAAGGCGACAGACGGTGGCTCTCCCCCCTGGGGGGGACTGTAGGGAAGGGACTGTGGGAAAGGGACCCCTCTTCCAGCCCCAGCTGACCCCTGGGGCTGATGAGACACAGGGGACCAGGAGGGACCTTCAGCACAGAGCCTGGGCATCCCCCCACTGCTGGGGGGCTTCCAGTGCAGATCCTGCCCCGAGCCAGTGTGACACCGTGTGCTGCCAACCCACGTCAGCAGGGATGAAGCCACGGGAGATGCTGCCAGCTGGACACAGTGCCCTGCGCTGTCTGCAGTCCCGGCAGACTGCCAGGGAGATAGGGAACTTCTCAGCTGACCTTTACAATGGGTGCTCTGGCCCCACTTACCCTGTGCACCCTGCCCAAGGACGGCATCCTCCTCCTGATGTCTGAGGAGATGCAGAAATTTCACGGAGCCTGGGGACAGCTAGCTCCAGCCCCACTCTCGCGGAACGCTGAGGGCACACGGGGGTGTTCGTATCCCACAAGGCCACTCCTGCCCTGAGGGATGGAAAAGCAGGACATGGCTCCAATTGAAAGGATGGAGAGGCAGGTAAAGAGAACTGGCGGCCTGTATTGCTGTGACCACCACGGTCCCTCTGTCCGGGCACCCAGCTGGCCCATGAGGAAGGATGGAGTAATCTGGGGGAGGCACAGGGGGGCTCCTGCTGCCTCTGCTAGAGCCTGGGCTTGGGGAGGAGAGGGGTGAAAGGCTGGGAGGAGAGGAGCCAGCTGTGCACGGCAGGGTGCCCCAGTGAGCTGGGCTCAGCAGCCCAAGGTGCTGAAGAAGGCACAGGCTTCCAGGAGCAGGCCCTTGGCATAGATGCGCAGGGTGTAGAAGAGGGTGATGAAGTCCTGAGTGCTGAAGAGTGTGTCAGCCAGGGCAAAGGCAAGCGTAGAGGGGATGAAGCCCCGGCCGTACTCCACCATCCAGGTGCCTGCGCTCCACTGCACTGACGTGGCCTCTCCCGCCTGGTGCACAATGGTGTCCCCTGCCAACACAAACAACCAGCACAGCTTTCAGTGGCTGCCCCATACATCATGCCCAAAGAGACATGTGGGATCAGGTCCTGCAGGGCTGAGCACCCCAACCCCTCTCCAATCTTCCTCACTTCTCCCTTACAGGCACCAACTGAGATGGTGGGATGTGCCCATGGGGACAAAAAACACCCCATTGTGAGCCCCTGGCTTCTGCCAGCTGGAAGGAAGAGGGTCTGTGATAGTGGAGGACCAACCCGCAGAGTGGCTGTACCCCAGGACATGGACACGGCCTGCAGGGCGCCGTGGCTACTGTGCTTACCTGGATAGTAGATCTCGCTTCTGGTGGTCCCCTCCTTCCATTGCCGGAAAGTCCCCGAGATGACAGTGTCAGAGATATCTGCCCAGTACCGACCTGTGGGAGGACAGAGGGCTCTGCCTCAGCTCATCCCTGATGAGGACAGCCTGGAAGCCACAGGTCTGAACCATGGAGCAGCCCTCTGGAGGTAAGGATGCCAGCCCCAGGGCCTTGACACACTGAGGATCACAGCTGAGGCTGGTACCCAGGCTGACCACATACCACCAGCCCGGGCTGCATGGTGTTCTTAAGCCCCATCATTTCCAGCACGTTTGGCACCTGCTCCCGGCTGAAGCACCGGGAGACACAATGCTTGCCACTGCCTGCCAGCTGGATGCAAAGAGTCCTGGCCATGCGGCATGGCATGCACAGGGACCTGCAGGTGCTGCAGGACACCACGGGGGCTGGTCCCCATGCGAAGGGTGTTTTCCAGCATCAAGCACCCCATAAAAGAAGTGGAGCAGCAGGCTCCCTGTGCTTTGCACACATGGCCAGGGCAGCCAGACCTGAATTAAGTGGAGTGGAAAGAGCTCAGAGAAACCCTCTACCACCCAGCCCTGTCCCCCCTGCTTACCTGAGTGGCCCCCAGTGTCAACAGCTGTCCCGAAGAGCAGCACATACTCTGTGAGTGAGGCGTGCAGGAGGCACATGGAGCCCATCCACCCACCCGCGTTCACGAACACCCACTGCAGGTCCTCGTCTGGCAGGATGTGGCCTGGGTGCTTCTTCCGTAGCTCCACAATGATCTTGGAGAAAGCCAGCTCATGGTCCAGCCCTGCAGCACCCACGGTCGTGGTGAGTCCCTGGCATGAAGCAAGCTCTGGTTGGCGCCCCCCCCCCCCCCCCCCCCCCCCCCCCCCCCCCCCCCCCCCCCCCCCCCCCCCCCCCCCCCCCCCCCCCCCCCCCCCCCCC